CGCCTTGTATGCCGCAATGTCACCAAGATCGGAACCAGACTGAACAGGCCAGGCAGACACCATGAGCAAGCTCATTGATGTCGTCAAGTATGGCCTGTGCAGCACCATGCTCGAATATTCAGCTACATGACACGTAAACTGAAGCTCAGGGTTGAGGGCGCAGGGTCTTGCGCCTGCGACGAGAAACCTCAGCAACACCACGAGTCCCGATGCAGACAGTTCTGAGCTTAGAACATCTCTTCCCCAAACCTTCTGAGCATTCCACATGTACGACAACTCACGACTTGCATATCCAGGAGGGATGTCTATGACTGCTTTTATATTCGCAGTAGCTGAGAGGACAGCATGATGAAAGACAACTCAGTCTAGTACTGACTTTGATGGAACTCCATTGGCAATATCGTGCTTCTCGGCAGAATTAACACTTTACAAAAACACTGATGGCGCCACGATATGTTGCATCAGAAAGCCTGAAACTTTGAGGCTCTTGGCGCTCAAAGCAAAAGTTGACGCTACCGGCAACACTGTACTCTCTAAGGACATTGTATCCTCTTGCCGAAGACTAGGCTGGAAACCATAAACACCAAAATCAGCGCCCTGAACCCTGAACAAAAAAAATCCTCGATGCAGGACCCTCGATCCAACATCTAGGGCCTTCTTGAAGGCAGGATCCTTGCAAAGCTCTTCCATAGGCTTCTCGGCTCCTTGCCTCAAAACGAAGCTTCCTTTTGCTCCAGGCCGGGCTCTATGGCGTCAGGTCAACAATTTCGGGGTTTCAAAGGGGTTGGCTTTAGAATTGCTCTTTTACTCCGATATCCGCATAACCCGAACTCCCTGAATAGGCCTCCGATTGATCGAGCGCGTTAGCAGGTAGTGGTAGTGGACTAGTACGACTAGTATTAGTACTGGTACTAGTTACTTACTAGTGCCGGAAACAATGGTGGTGGTGCATTATCATTGTCATTCGTAGTAGTCGTACTTACTGCTGCTGGCTCTGTAGGAGGCAGGAATAAGCAGCATTGCCACAAATGCTCCAGAAGAAACGAGGCACAAATTTTGTTGCTGTTGCTCAGGATGGTCTTGTCGTACGGAGGCCGCTGTTGTCTAGCCTGCAGAAGTTTACCAATGTCTCTTTACTCCAGAATGCTTGCCTTTGGCTTCGGTGCATAGTGTATCGCTGTGACCGGCAGGAACCACAAACTTTTTGCAATTGCTTGTGACATTCACCACGACAGCAGCAGCCTGAACTTTCTGAACCTGTGCTCTAGCAAACCTCTGAACGTGCTGCGGCCCACGAGCAGAACGGAAGTCTGCGGTGGTCATGCTGACGTGTTCCACAAAACCCGAGAAGTAGAAGCCCAACTTTTGCCGCGCTCTGCCAGAAAGCCGATTTGGACAATCGAAAGAGTCTGCGGGTCTGGATTCTAGGATTTGGGGCGATCAGTAGGAAACTTGACGTGTGGTGTGGGGAGAGGAAAACATTCCAAGCTTCCGGCTTCCTGCATTCCTGGAGATCGCCAACCGAAGTTGCACGGGGATGGCTTTATGATATTGGGGGTCTGTCGTTTAAGGAGGTCCGTACAGGGGCGGAAATCCTTCGGTTCGCTAAGGCAAGTTGCCCTCCGCCCTGTGGAACAGTAGCAGTAGTACCACTACAAGTACTGATAGCAGTAGTAGTAGTAGTAGTAGTAGTAGTAGTAGTAGTAGTAGTAGTAGTAGTAGTAGTAGTCGTCGTCGTCGTAGTAATTGTAGTAGTGATGAGTAGAAGTTAGTAGGGTAGTAGCAGGAGAGGCGGTAGTAGACAGTGCTTGATAGTTAGTAGTCAGTAACCTATTGGTTAGCATCTTGCAGTTGGTGGCGCACAATCGGTAGTTTGTAGCTAATAGTTTGATGGTAATACCATGTAGAAAAACTGGTAGTAGTGAATACTGTAGCAAGCAGCAGCCAGTAATTAGCAAGCAGTAGACAAATAGTCTATTGAAACATGGAGCTGCAACCAGCAAGCAGTTAGAGATCTTTCATAAGTAGGGTGCAAAACACAGTAAGTAGTACATATTAAATATTAATATGTAATGCATAATAAGTTGGTCGTAGCAAGTAAGTCGTCGTGCATAATAAGAAGGATAAGGTACAACTCGCTAGCAGTTCGTAAATCTGAGTCTGAATCAGAATTCAGCCTCGAGTGCGTCGTGTGTTAGCGGTCAAAAGCCAGGAACTAGTAGACAGTGTTAGTGGTTAGTAGCAGTAGTAGCGGTAGTAGGAGTAGTAGTAGGAGGAGGAGGAGGTAGTGGTCGCGGTAGTGGTAGTGGTCGTCGTCGTCGTAGTAGAAGTCGTAGTAATAGTAGCAGTGGTAGTAGTCGTCGTCGTAGAAGTCGTAGTAATAGTAGTAGTAGTAGTAGTAGTAGTAGTAGTAGTAGTAGTAGTAGTAGTAGTAGTAGTAGTAGTAGTAGTCGTAGTAGTAGTAGTAGGAGAAGTGGTAGTGATCAAGGTGGTTGTAGTAAGTAGTACTAGTACTGCGCCACGAACGGGTCAAGGGGCGGGAAGGGTCCGAGGGTCCACGTTGCATCCCGAACTTACGTGCTTGGTTGCTGGAAGAAACGGAATTTCAGCTACAGGGGCAATCGGATACTACAGTATTCGAGGCACTTGACGATAGGACGATTCTCTGGAGTACAATGACGCTGCGGGGCTCACTGTTGATTCTACTTTTATGTTTCCGCACCAACCCTTCAGCCGATTCCTCACATGTGCTGTCATTTGCTAGAATTTACCCGGGTGAGTTTGCATCCGCCGTCACCAGAATGTTGGAACGTCACGATGCAGCAGGTGTGGCATGGGCTCTCGACCTATCCCCGGAGCAATGAAACCTCCCATTCAGTGTTCAGAGGTCCTGATAAATGTCGAATGCGAGATGAAAGCGCCAATTGGAGCTCGTCGGTCCCAACTGCAAGGAGAGGGAGAATGAACCAGCAGAACCTGGCGTGAGGGTTGACGGATCGTCCTTCCGACCATCTCAAGTTGGCGCGGAAGTGCCGGCGAAGAGGAGTTCAGTGGTCGGCTCGATTCCAACCACGAGCATTGAGAAAAGTCGAGTCAAACAGAGATCGCTACGCCGCGCCGTGGGCGCTGAAAGCACAGGGCCTCAGATTGACGCACTGCCCACGCAAGCCTGCTCCAAGAATTGACATTTTGTCGTGGAGCTGCAGTGGTCTTAAACAGCTTCTGTTCGAAGAGATCAAACTGTACCTCAAACGGCACCCAGAAATCATGGTGGCATGTCTTCGAGAGACCCACAGATCTTTCCAGAGTAAACGGGCTGCGGATGGGTGGACCTTCATTCATAGTGCTGCCAGAACGGGACTCCTTGGGTTTACGGATAGTTTCTGTGATAGGAATTCAATTTCGGTGGCAAGAGCTGCAGCCGGGCAGACTGTTGAATGCAAGATGCTATGAACGGTCGCAACACCTGGACTTCATATGTGTATACCAGCATGCTCAATCGATATGCTGAGTTCGCCATGGGGGTGGGGAAAAACAGGTTGCTATGTCCAGGGGGCTTTGACAAGGGTGTCCAATAGCTCAAATCATCTACGCGGCATGCATGCGGCATGGTCGTGTCGGCTCAAAAACATGACCCATTGTTTGGTGATGATATCTTTGCAAGCTGGACCTTGCCTCGCTTGATGATATGAAGAATGCCATTCAATCGGAGCTGGAAATGGCGCTTTGCTTTCAGAAGTCGGTTGTGGCGTTCCTGGTGTGTGGTAAGGCAGTTGTGCAGATGTGTAAGTCCCTTCTGGTGCGGCAGCAAGCCGGTCCAGCACTTGCGCACTCGTGGTGAAAGTGGACGTGTACGTTTCACGTGAATCCACCATTGCTTATCTGGGTGCCACGCCTTCTTCTGGCAACTATGAGATGCAAACTTTCCGGACTACATGCGCGCAAGCCGCCGTGTTCTGCGTACAAACGGTGCTCTGGCGCTGCGACATCGAGATCGGCTACACGAGGCAGTCATCTGGCCCATTTAGTAGTGGAAATAGCAGAAGTCGTCGTCGTAAAAGTCGTAGTGACAGTAGTAGTAGTAGTAGTAGTCGTCGTCGTAGAAGTCGTAGTAATGGTAGTAGTGGTAGTAGTAGTAGCAGTAGTAGTAATGGTCGTCGAAGAAGTCGTAGTAATAGTATTAGTATTATTATTCGTAGTAGTAGTAGTGGTAGTAGCAGACGTAGTAGTAGAAGTAGTAGTAGTAGTAGTAGTAGTAGTAGTAGTAGTAGTAGTAGTAGTAGTAGTAGTAGTAGTAGTAGTAGTAGTAGTAGTAGTAGTAGTAGTAGTAGTAGTAGTAGTAGTAGTAGTAGTAGTAGTAGTAGTAGTAGTAGTAGTAGTAGTAGTAGTAGTAGTAGGTAGTAGTAGTAGTAGTAGTAGTAGTAGTAGTAGTAGTAGTAGTAGTAGTAGTAGTAGTAGTAGTAGTAGTAGTAGTAGTAGTAGTAGTAGTAGTAGCAGTAGTAGTCGTCGTCGTGGTAGTGGTAGTGGTAGCGGTAGCGGTAGTGGTAGTAGTAGTAGTAGTAGTAGTAGTAGTAGTAGTAGTAGTAGTAGTAGTATAGTAGTAGTAGTAGTAGTAGTAGTAGTAGTCAGTAGTAGTACTAGTAGTATAGTAGTGTAGTAGTAGTAGTAGCAGTAGCAGTAGTAGTAGTAGTGTAGTAGTAGTTGTAGTAGTAGTCGTACTAGTAGTAGTAGTGGTAGTAGCAGTAGCAGTAGTAGTCGTGGTGGTAGTAGTAGTCGTAGTCGTAGTCGTAGTCGTAGTGGTAGTGGTAGTGGTAGTGGTAGTAGTAGTAGTAGTAGTAGTAGTAGTAGTAGTAGTAGTAGTAGTAGTAGGAGTAGGAGTAGGAGTAGTAAGTATTGGTGCTCATGGGCTGGGGAAGTGGCAGGGAGGCCAGGTAGTGCACGGAATGGACTTGCTGTGACTGTACACAAATGCAGCCCTGTTCAGCATCACTCAGAGGGCATTAGGGAAAGCCGTACAAGGCCTGAGCACCAAGGTGACTTTTTGTTCAACACCTTGAAATGTGCAGAGCTACAGCTTCTGCATCGCTAAGAACAAAGAAGTATATGCCCTGTCATATTGAGCCCACGATCGCTCGTGCTCCTTTTACTCTGACCGGCCTCGCGAAGGAGGTACTGGTCCACCTCGAGGTCATGGACCCACCAGGAGCCACACGGAACCTCGAAGCCCTCTCCACCTGAGGCCGAAGGGCTCGCCTGTGACTTGTTTCATTATTACAGCGCTTTTGCTCGACTTTACTGTTGTCTCGAACCTCGGTCTCAACTCCTCAACCCTCAACACCTGCACCCACAAACCTCAAAGCCTTGACCCTTCCTCTTGAAACCTCCCCCAGTGGTCCGTCAGGGAGCCTGCTCGTCGCTTTTCAAGTCGCTTCAGCGCTTGCCGATGCCGGTCAGACAGGGCAGCCCCTCAGTCGAACGGGTTGATGCCAACACCTAAACCCACTTTAGGGCCCCAGAGCTTTAGGGTCTAACATGGTCTAACGGAACCCTCGCCATCGTCATGCTTAGGGTCAGGCCAGGTCTCTGGCCGACAGCAGGATCTGCACGAACCTGCTGTAGAATTTAGATGTGGGACTAGCAGTGGATTTGGAAGCAAGACTGGAAGCAAAAGTGCATGTAGAAGTGAAAGTAGTATTAGTAGCAGCAGCAGGAGGAGGAGTAGTAGTAGTAATTAGTCGCCGTGGTAGGCTTCTCACGGCCAAGGCGCAGTTTCGTTTGTTCTCGTCGGTGTACCGACAGCGCCCACACACTTTCCGCCTACCCCCTCCCTACTCCCGCCGAATACAGCACAACAAGCCCTCGAAAGGAGAAGCATAAGCTCCGAATCACCCCAAGCATCAGGGCCGGACATCGAATCATGGTAACTGCAGTTACACTGCCACTTCGTTCAATCCAACGATTCTGTCAATGCAATACACGGGGGCCTAGCCCACTTCCCAGGCACCAAGAAGACGTGAACTTACCCCCATAACGCCCGAAACTCCGTGTCACAGTCGTAGTCGCGGTGGTGGCAGTGCTGGTAGTAGAAGAAGTGGCGGTGGTAGTAGCAACAGTAGTAGTCGTAGTCGTAGTGGTGGTAGTCGTGGTGGTGGTGGTGGTGGTGAAGGTGGTAGTAGTAGTAGTAGTAGTAGTAGTAGTAGTAGTAGTAGTAGTAGTAGTCGTAGTTGTAGTCGCGCCCATGTAGATATATTGACCCAGAGCCGTGACGAATGCAATCACATGTCGGCAGCACAGGTGCCGGCGTTCTGGAACCTGAACGGAGTGGTACCTTTTGCAAGGAGTCTTCCATGTGGGTCTCGGGTCCAAGGATCTAGCATGGTGCCTGTGCTGTTGTACTCCTAGCTGCTAGCTGCTTCTGGCTGTGCCCCAATCGCCGCGAATCCTCGCTGCTTACTCCAACTGGCATTGCTAGGGCATTGCTTATGTCGCTGCCTTACAAAAACCCAAGGTAGTGAACGGCAATCGTGACGAGAAACGACGCGGTGCAAGCTCAAAGACCACCGCAGAAGCAGTGCAGCAGCAGCGGCTGTCGACACGCGTGCTTGTCTGCATCACTTCATACTATGTAAGCCTCTTTAACAGGCTCTCGGCCCGAGCATTGGCATTTAGCCCTGTCTCATGCACAGTTCACGGGCATAGGAGGCGAGTCCGGCTACCTGGATGGTTCCACACAACCCTCACATTGAGCTCTATGGCAAGCGATTTGGCTTTGGCTGTTCGGAGCTGGGTGCTACAGTCTTTATGCTAGCATAATGTGTACACTATGTCAGTCTTCGCTGCTTCTCACGTCCACGCATGGCTTCAGGAGATTGCATGAACCTCTAGTATCGCAGCTTCCTGAGCCAGAGCCCGAAGCTCCTACAGACGAAGACCTAAACCATGCTAAACCCTAAGCGGCCCTAAACACTTCTAAAAGCCCATGAAGCCGGCCTGAGGCGCCGCTTCTGCACTCTGCGCGCTGCGCTTCCGGCGGTAAGCCTGGTTAAGAGACAGCTTGCATCTTGCGCCTCGGAGTTTATATCTGAAGGTTGCAGTTCCAGAGTTTGGGTGTTCTCCGACGCTGCGCGCATAATTTACGGTTTTGGTTTTGGGGGTGCAGGTGGTAAAGGAGTGCCAGTTGCTGGGTTCTGGGTGTACCGACCGACATTCCGAGATTACATACGCGATAAGAGCTGACAACTTGCACGTCAACAGCAAGTAGACGACTTCTTCCAGCTATGCATCGTCAGCCGGGAATCGCACCAGAGTTCTTCAGCCTCCCGTATCTACTTAAACTGCCTGAGTTATCTACCGTACCAACTCAGTCCGCCGGTCCCCCAAGCCGGCCATTTCAAGAAACCCTATTCTAAATTCGCTCAGACCTGGTGCATAAAGCGATCTGAACGAAGCGCCGGATGCAACTACTCTACCACCGGGCACGGATTCCAGGAGCACATGTCCATCCATTTTCAATCTTCCAACTTGACTTGTCACTGTTTCGGCGCAGATGCAAGAGTCCTCAAATATCTCCGCGCGCTGCCGCTCTGCGGCCGCGATGCGCTCTCGCCTCTCCTCCTGTGATTAAGCCGCTTCAGGTTTCAGGTTTTGGGTCTGTTTGATTTTGTGATTGAAGCCACTTTGTCCAAGCCCAGTGCTAGGTCCTCACCAATCAATATGGCAGAACTGCCCTCTGCAGAATAGCGGCAATATGGTGCATGGACGCTCATGGAGATAACGGAAATACTGAGCGAGTCGTGAAAAAACATTTATGATTACAATCACCACGGTGACCAGCAGCACAAACTGCCACACATTGGCAACACCATCCCTGCCCCCACGACCCGCACCATCGTCGCCAGGACGGCGACGGCCAGCTATTCTGCCACCACATGGATAGGCAAAACAAGAGCAACAACCAGTGCACAGCTGCTAAGACGACGTGGATGATCATGGTAGTGAGTTCCGCCGATGCTTCTCTCACAAAAACCTGTCAAAAGAGTCGTATGCCCGTATGAACAGTGGCACTATGACAGAGAGGTGCTCTCGCTCAGGCCGGCAACAGTGGCAAAACCAAGGAGCCCGCCTCCTCAGCCTGACTTAAGCCAGAAGCAAGAGCGCTCTCTTGAACCTTGCACATCAAGACGACGACGAAGACTGTCCAGCACCACCGCCACCAACAAAAAGAACAACGACGACGGCGCGACAACAAGAATACCAACAAAATCAACAACAGCATGAGCAACAACAGCAACAACAACAAGAATACCAAGTAGTTCAATAACAATAACAAGAGCGAACTATCAAGGTAGAAGCTGTCCAGACCCGTGGAGGGCTTTGCTGCTAGTTGGCTGCAGCGGCGACGGATTGCAGTGACCCGATCCGTCGAATCAGCCAAGCTCTTCATCATCTGAAGCCGCCAGAAAGTTCATTGGGCTGTGCCTTTACAGGAAGCATGTGGCATCATGTGGCTCTGCCACATACTGTTTTTGATGTGGGCTAATCGAGCCCCAAGCCCGTCGTTCTTCTACAAGTAGAACTGGCGGACGTCTCGGGAGCATGTCAACTCTGCAACGCACATGTGAATTGTCGTTGCGTGCACCTTTGTTGGAAAGCTTGATGCCTACAGGTTGACCTGAGACTCGGGCTAGTTGAACCACAGGTTAAAGAAGGAATGCAATATGCCACCAGAAGCCACCCAGTCCGCATTGACGTGTTTGTTCTGTAGCAGAATCTGCCGAAGCATGCAACTGCAGAACGGGCTGATGTGGCTGAATGTGTAGCCGTGTAGGACTGTGCCCCAATGTCGATTGCGTCGCAAGGCCTCCTGCAACCAGATGTAGCATCAGACGGAGAAAGACACTGAGCCGGCGTAGGCGCGCCGTCTGCTTTGTCGTAAGGAGACTTCCCGAACAAAGTCGTGCCCAATGTGCCTACGTACAGACATGCACGCGTGAATCGTGCCCAGAAAAAAGATTGGCCTTCACCCCACGGAAGGTGAGAACACTACCAATTCCACCAAGAACACAGGAGGCCCGGGAATTGGGTCTCAGCGGTTGACAGCGCTCAGGCAGCTATGGTTCAGGCAGGATGCCAAACCTTTACTCTTCGAGAAGAGGGTCGGCCCTTTAGCAAAGTAGAAGGATTGACCCGAGGTTCGATTGCCTCCGGCTGCTGTCGGACACAGGGGAGAACTTAATTGACAGCAGCATCAACAGCACCATCAACAAGAAGAGTTACAAGGACGACGACAGCACCAACACGAAACAGCAACAATAACATGAACAGAAACAATAATGACAATAACAAGAAGCATCGTAATATCGATATTACCACTACTAATGCGAGCTGCTGATGCCAATGGTCCGGTGCTAATCCTAATGCCAATACTGGTGCCAAGACCGGGCCTGATACTAATACTAGTAATTACTAGTTATTAGTACAAACACCGGTACTCATACTCCCACTAGCACTTACGCCAAGTTAATTAATTACTGATACTAATACTAATATTACTTCCAAGCAAGGCCAATACCCATTCCGCTACCCGCACGAATATGAACACGGATACCAATGCTGATACTCGTACTCGTACCAGTGCTAATGACAAAGGGGCCAATACTGATACACTTAAACGAATACAACAATACTGACAGCGATACACTAATATTGATACAGAAACACCAATACACTAAGGCTGATACACTAATACTACACCAATACTAGCTGCCTAAGACCAAACTGAGACCTACGCTGATACTGATATTGATGCTAATGCTGGTACTGATACTGAGGTTGGCAGTACAATTAGAAGGAGTAGCAGCAACAGTAGCAGTAGTAGTGGGAGTAGGAGTAGTAGAAGTCTGAGCAGGAGTAGGACAATAGCAGTACTAGTAGTAGTAGCAGTAATAGTAATAGCAGTAGTGCCGCTAGCAGCAGTGGTAAATAGTAGTAGTAGTAGTAGTAGTAGTAGTAGTAGTAGTAGTAGTAGGAGTAGGACTAGCAGTAGCAGCAGCAGTAGGAGTAGCAGTAGCAGTAGCAGTAGCAGTAGTAGTAGTAGTAGTAGTAGTAGTAGTAGTAGTAGTAGTAGTAGTAGTAGTAGTAGTAGTAGTAGTAGTACTAGTAGTAGTCGCGCTAGTAGTAGTAGTAGTAGTAGTAGTAGTAGTAGTAGTAGTAGTAGTAGCAGTAGCAGCAGCAGTAGCAGGAGCAGTAGCAGTAGTAGTAGTAGGAGTAGGAGTAGGAGTGTAGGAGTAGTAGTAGTAGTAGTAGTAGTAGTAGTAGTAGTAGTAGTAGTAGTAGTAGTAGTAGTAGTAGTAGTAGTAGTAGTAGTAGTAGTAGTAGTAGTAGTAGTAGTAGTAGTAGTACGGTTGATGATATGAATCCTGCATGACCCATAATGAGGAATATACCATAAATCCCACAGTCTACGGTCATTGAGGTAATGCAGGATTTATATCATCAACCGTAGTAGTAGTAGTAGTAGTAGTAGTAGTAGTAGTAGTAGTAGTAGTAGTAGTAGTAGTAGTAGTAGTAGTAGTAGAAATAGTAGAAGTAGTAGAAGTAGTAGAAGCAGCAGTAGTAGTAGTAGTAGTAGTAGTAGTAGTAGTAGTAGTAGTAGTAGTAATTAGTCGTCGTCGTAGTGGTAGCAGCAGCTGGCTACACGTACCACAGCTGCGATACCAACCCCGGACAACTGTCCGACCTCCGCACGAAGGGCCGCTCGTCTTTGTTCGGCCTCGGCGCTCGCCTCCTGTAAAATAGAGGAGACAGGTAAGATTGTTGGGGTTTGTGGCTTGAGGTTCCTCAGGGTTTCGGGCTTGGGAAATCAGTGAAATGAGGTGCGGCTTGAACGATCTAGGCTCTCTCGGGTAATGTGTCGAATGCCAGCATGACAGAAGAATCATCATCAGAAACAACTGCATAAGCCAATGCCTCGCTAACACTCCGAAGCATACATTGTGGACCAACCGCTACCCCCAATGCCCTCGACAACCAGCCAAGTCCCTCCCTCTCCCTCAGCCTCTTCTCGCTTCTTGCGAGCTCGGGCCTCTGCCTCGTTGTGTTGAGGCATCTAGGTGTCTTGATCCTTTTGGACGGTCTGTACATTGTGTTAGAACATTTGTTGGTAGGTAGGTCGGCAGGCATGGGGCCCCGTAGGCAGGCAGGTAGATTAGTACGTACACTTATGTGTGTTAGAATTCATTAGGTCGGTAGGTAGGTAGGCACTCAGGCAGGCCAGGCAGGCAAGGCGGCAGATGCCGGGCCAAGAGCAACCCTGGCACGTGAGGGAACCACAACTGCTGCGCAGCGCGCAAAGACTAAACCAACAAATAATTGGCTACACACACACACACATCCTCGCGGAGCAGCATCGTTCATTGCAGCCCTTCGCGCTTCGCGTGAAGTATAATGGTCGGTGATGCTCCTTGACGGCCACATTCGCCCTTCCATCAATGAGGCTCCATAAGAGTGGTGACGAAACGTTCTTTTGACTCACGAACAGATAGTCCACCCGTCGTATACCACCGTCACACTCCGCCAAGCGCGGATCGGCCCCAGCAGCGAGGAGCAATGCCGTGGCAGCGAAGACAGCCTTCTCTTCAGGAAGTCGGAGGGCAGTGGTGCGCCGGACCTCCCCCGGGACGGCCGTCAGATTCGGGTCCGCCACAGCCTCGAGGAGGATCTGCAGCGAGTCGAAGCGCATGGCGGAGACAGTAGTTTCCGCTCAAATTGAAGATCGCCATCCCAGGCCTGAACTCCCCAAGCATCCCATTAACATCCCTTGAGGAACCCCCAAAAGCCCTGTTCCTTAAATTCCGAAATAAACACAAACCCTCGAACCCTCAACCGCAAATCTCGCGGCCTCCCGCTGCTTGAGCCGCTCTTCCGCCCTTTGGCGCTCACGCTCGCGCTTGGCGTGCTCCTGAGCCCGCCTGAAGCAGGGCGGGATGTTCGATCGAAACAGAGAACTAACCTCCTCACCGAGACATTAACCAAGACTGCATGATATGCGAGAGAAAGCACAAGTAGACGTATCTTCGACCAGAATAAGACTGTGCCGCACTGCACCATACTGCACCTATATCCGAATCCTGTGTGAAGGGATCCGGGATCCCAGGTTGCACCAACTCAAAATCTCACAAAGCGCAAACGGGATCTGAACCTGGGTTGCAGCAGGTTTTCATTTTGCTTCGAAAGAAAAGGAGCTGGGGATCATGATGGTTGGATGCTATCACATGCCGTCCTTAACGTGCAGAACATGCCAAGCGCATCTACGGCATCTTATGCTCCCATCCTTTTCTGCTCCGCTGTATCCCTGGAAGTGAAGGTCGGCTGCTTCGGCTTGGTGAAAACCTGCAAGCTGCTGCCAAGACTTCAAGATGCATCCCGAAGGAATCCTAAGGTGGCACTGTCTTTCCATCTTCAGTCAGTAAATGTGTCTGAATGTAGCATACATGCAAACAGCACGAAGCTGAATAAACAGACATAATGTTGCGCCACGGTCATGTTATGTATGTCAACGGATATAAATGTATATATATATATATATATGTATATATGTATATATGTATATATGTATATATGTATATATGTATAAGGCTCTGGCTCGAGTCTGCTGTTGATTGAATGAAAGTTCTAGCGCCATGCATGTGCTCGCCGTCCAGCTGTTGTTGGTGGCTCTAGCACTGTGGTGCCCGCATCGAGTGGGGCTCCACCCCGACGCGCGGTGCCCAGCTGAGCCAGGTTGCACAGATACTGCTGCCTCTGTGTTAACTCCAACCTTGCCCTTGCAATTCCTGCAGCGGCGTGGCTCTAACCACCTTAGGAACGTGAGCCTGCTAGCATGCCACCGAAGCGCAGGGCAAAAGCCGCAGCTGCGAAGGGCCGCACTCGCACAAGGACGCCCAGAGGCCATCGAGGCGGTCGTGCATCTCTGCCGGAGGCCTCGGAATCCATCAGCTCTTCTTCTAGCTCCTCTTCGGAGGAAGAGCCGTGGGGTCCACCACCAAAGCGGGGAGGATCGCGCAGAGGCATACCGAAAGCTGGACCGCCACCTGCAGGATCGGACAACACTGAGGCTCCATCGAAGGCTTCCTCGGCTGCGACGGCGAAGTATCCGAGTGCACCTGGGCCTGTCTTGCCTGCAGGACCACCAGTACCGACACCGGCAGGACTGCCACCGCGGCCTGCCCAGGCGTCGGGTGGGTTTCCACAAGACCTTGTCTTCACGTTGCAGGGCGCATGGCAGCTCCGCCTCACACAGCTTACGCCACACTCTGTCTCGACCCCTCCTCTCCCTTTTCCGGGGCCACCCAACCCGGATGCAGCCAGTTCCTCAACGATCCCTCCGATCCCTGCGATCCCTACGATCCGTGCATCCCTTTTGGCAACGACACCGAAGGCGACTTCTCTGGCATCTACAGGAGGTGGACCAACCGCCCACATGGGTGCGCCGATCCCTCCAGTGCGCCCACCGATGGCTGGAGCGCCTACACCTTCGTCGACCGCGGGTCCATCTGCCATCAGCACGCCGGTCCAGTTCTGGAATGCAGTCATGGCAGGCATGGCCATGCCATCGGACGTCTAAGGCCTGGAGCGTAAGGACACCGGACCTGGGGCTGGCTTGGAGGTCTGAGTTTTTGCTGACTCGTAATGCTGAAGCTTTTGGGAAAAGGGCATGGCACAGGTCAGCACAGCCCGCCTTTTTCACTGGGTCCTTACATGAGTTGCTATACCTGCACAATGCCTTCCTTGCTGGCCCAGGTCCTTGCATGCATTTTCTGCCGCGTATGGCCGATTCGGTGCTCACAGGCTGGAGCCCGTGCTGGGTTCTAGCACCACAGCATCGTCACCGCATGCCCACTAAGGTCCCGGCCACTCGGTTTCTCCGAGATGGCTTCAGCCGCAGGACAGGTCGCAACAGCCCAGGAATAAACTGCAGGCGAGTCGTGTGCCGGATGACACAGACTGCCCACTCCTTCTCGAGTGTGCCGATAGACTTCTGCATGGGGCTGTGGTGGGGGCGCCCTGGAGTGCTCTGCCACTGTGTGCACGTCTTCTGTGTGAGGCACTTTCGGCTTCGCGGTATCGCAAATGTGCAGGTTTCAACTCCTACCGCAGTCGCGCCCTCACCCAGGCACTTCAATACGAGCGATGCTTGCCTTCTCTCGAGGCACACGTCTTGTATCTTGAAGCGATGTGCATGCTCTCAGCAACCGAGCTCGCCGAGCTCCTTGCCCGGCTGGCGCACCTCACTCCGTGTGCACTGGAGAGCGTACAGTCACGCCTCCTTGACCTGCATACGCTTGACTAGGCTGACAGCGCGTCTTCCCTTAGGCCGCGAGCTCAATCTCAGTTTTGCCTCGACTGCAACTCATGCCTGCTCCCTTGAGCTCCTGTCTCGCTGGACCCAGGCTGGAGGAGTCCTCGCCTGCCGGACCGGGGACGACCGTGCCTTTATGCCACAGCCTCGGTTCCTGTTTGCTCTGCAACCTAAACGTTCGTGCAGTCTGCGTGCATGGTCTTCCCTGGAGTGTGATCCCTGGCCTCTCTGTGGCTCTTACCCAGTTTCTCCCTGGGGACAGCTTACTTCAGTAGGAGGGAGTCGGCGCCTCATGGGCCGCTCGGGTCGGAAAAAGCGCAATCACGGCCGCCCTGGTCAATGGTCGAGGGGACTTGACACGGGCCCTGAGAACCTCAAGCTCCGATCTCGACCCAGATCAAGGTCGGACTCGAGATCCCGCTCCGGACGGCGGTCTCCCTCTCGGTCCAGGTCTTCCGGTGCTAGGGCAAGTGCCTCCACGCGCCCACCGCCGACCGGGTCTGGGCCTACATCCTTCAAGCAGCTCCTGTTGGCGCCTGGACGGTTCGTGCGACTCTTCAGGCCCATCCTCGAGTACCCGGCGGACCTTCCAGGCATCATCGTGCCAGACGCATGTAGGGGCACGGACCTGGACCCAGCGGTCGCTTTGGTGCCTGGACAAAGCTCATGCCGGGTAGTCTTTACTACTGGCGATCGTGTGTGCCTTTGTGCCAGCACACAGATTTTGCCCTCGGCGGAGACGGAGTTCCCCCGCGGCACGATCAAACGACTCCAACGGCTGTACAGGTGGGTGGTGCACCCCCCGCCACGTACGAACTACACCAGGCCACCTTCGGTCCACCCGCCGGAACGAGCTCGTCGACCTGATGACGCCGGTGGAACCAACAGAGCTGACAAGGCTGACGCAAGCCCTGACCAGGAAGTGGTACAGCTGGACAATGACACCGACGAGGACGTGGTGATCCTGCACACTTCCCGGCCCAAATCGAAGCCTATGCCTAAGCCCAAGCGCTATCCTCTGAAGGCCCCAGCACCTCCACCTGCGGTCGAGCCTTCCGCCTCGTCTGCACCAGCGAGGAGCCACCGCCGCTGCCTCCGCCGCCCTCTTCGGCGGCCTGTCCAGCCGAGGCTCCCACCACCCCGGAGGTAACCTCGCGTCTGGAACTGTCCCCTGCCGAGATCGAGGATATCCATCAGGCTGCGAGAGGAGCCACCTCGGACCTCCCATCTGGATCCCTGGATGCACCCACGGTGCCGGGCGCTGCAACGGTGCCCTTAGAGGGCACTCTCAGGCCTCTACCAGCGACCCTGACGGCTGAGAGCCGCTCTTCTCCTACCTCAAGGCCACAGCCACCCTCGGATGAAGAGGACTCCATCGCCGCCACGTTGTTCCCCGTTCTCGCCCAGGCGTTGCACAGCTACCGAGACCCCGGCTCCGATGGCGGCCCGGCCCGCGAGCTCTGACGTGTCAGGCCCTAAGACAAGGTCTTCCGACCAGAGAAAAGGGGCTGGAGCCACCAAGTCGAGGAAGCCGAAGAGGTCATCTCGGCGGATTTCTAGTGAGACTCCGGGTGATGCTTCTACTTCAGGTGAAGAAAGTGCCAGCAAGGGCAGCACGGCCAGTCTCACCACACAGCGCTCGCCGACCAGTCCGGCATACAAGAGGGTCTGTGCCATCAGAGTGAAGCAGCCTGTCAGCAGCATTTTCCTGCGCTTCCTGCTGCGAACCACGGTTTCCTTGACTAGGCCAGTACCGGAGCACTGCGACTGCCGATTTTGGCTCAGTCCTCAGAGTACTGCGGACAGCCTTGCACACTCCAGGTACATTGTTGCATTGACGGGCAAACCTGCGTCTGCTCTTAGGCTGCCTCTTGACATTACTCTGGTGTGTCCACAGCTATCCTCTCGAGTCGGGAATCTTGGGTTCTTGCTGTCTTCCGATCATCGGTGGCCACTCATCCCATGGTCGGGCACTCTCATAAGAAGCCTGCGGCCCGTGCTCAGGCCGAGAGGAAATCCTCCCGAGCTAGGCCCGCCAAGCGCCCAGCCTCCAAGGGGCGAGGCCAGAAGAGAGCGGCTGCCGAGAAGCATCCTTCGACCACCAAATCGCCACCACGGGCAAGGCACCTCAGCCGAACCGGAGATCAACGCACGGAGGGGGACAGCCCTACTTACCAGGCCTCTACACCGTCGTGGTGGCACAGCGGAGAGGAGTCGGCACATCCTCGAGAATCCCGTGCACGATCATCTCGGCAGGCCTCACTGGGCTCGGTGGACAGCCTGGACTCGGACAAGATTGAGAGGGAGCTCGTCGCCAAGGGGCTTATGCCACCATTGGGCAACCAACCAATTGATCCAGCAGCGGGCCCACAGGGGCCACCTCCACCGGAACCGGTGGGATACACGCACACTCCTCCGACGAGTGAGTGGGACATTCCGCGTCCCCCTCCTGCTGCCTCGATCAACCCGATGCAGCGCCAAATCCTCGCCAACACTCCTTTGTCGAAGGTTATGCGCCACGCTGCGGGCCATATGTTCCGTCTCTGAGGCCTGGCATCCTTTGAATGGCAGCTATCGGTCCCGACCCGGCAACACACGATATGGCAATGACCCTTCTATCGCGTGCACCCTACCTCGATTTTGTGCCAGAGTTCTAGGGTCTAGCACCACTGGGGGGAGGCCACAGCAGCCTGCCCTCCACAGATGTTGCTTCCTGCTTCGGCGCGCCGCCAAAAACGGCTGTCAGTACCACCACTTGCAGATGCATCACCAGTTGCTCGTTCGTGGGTACCTGCAAACAGCCGCTACTCCTGGCACTGAGGTCCGGTTACCATGGGCGGAGCGGCCCATCCACGGTTGGTCGGGCTCTCGTACCTCTCGCTTACACCGGCGTGGAGTCCACCTTCCGCAGCGTATGCCCAGACACAGGTTCCCTATGGCATCCAGACGCCGCCGGTACCGGCGTCCGCGTCGGATCAAAAGACGTCCCGTGCACTTATGGACTTGCCCATGCAAAGGTGCCGTCAGCAAG